CCCAATGCAGGGCTTGAACTCACAACCCTGAGCTCAAGACCTGTGCTGAGGGGTGCCTGGGTGGCTCAGTCGATTAAGCCTCTGACTCGTGGTTTCAGCTCAGGTCATGATCTCAGGGTCGTGAGATAGAGCCCCATATCGGGCTCCATGCTCTGCCCAGAGTCTGCTTGAGATTCTCTCCCTCTCCCTCCCCCCTCTTCCCCTCCTCTCACTCGAGCACATGTGCTCTCTCTCTCAAATTAATTAATTAAATCTCTAAAAAAAATACAGAACTGAGCTGAGATCAAGAGTCACCCATTTAACCAACTGAGCCACCCAGGCGCCCCAGCTGTTGAGGTGCTTTAAAACAAATATTAATGTCGAAGCTCTTCCCCAGGTACCTTGGCAATGGTAATTGTAAAAGGTCCCCAGGTGGTTCTAATCTGTAGCCAGATTTGAGAGCCCTGCCTTGGAGTTTAGCTGCTCAGTGCCTTCTTGCTGACCTCTGGCTACCCAGAGTTCCCCTCGATGCCTAACTTGTCTTCAAAACTCTAGAATTACTTCTCCTCCCACCCCAAACCCTCTGTTTTCCAAGGATAGCCAATCAAAGCTCAAGGTTGACTGGAAGCAAAGTGATTAACTGATTCAAACCCTGTCAATTATTTGATATCTGATAGGCTTAACCCTAGGGTCAAGACATCCGGTGGAGGTGGGAAAGGTTATTTGTATTTCAGTTGGCAGGAGAGACACTGTCTTAGCTGTGGCCTTAAGAATTTCCCCCTTCCCCTCATATACTTGTTCTCATAAAAGGTCAAGAGTCAGTGACTTCTGAGTTTGTTGACCCCACTAGGGTTCTATATTCTTGTACTTAAGTGGAAGGAGTCACTATTAAGAGTGATCCAGATTTGGTTCCCTCCACAACTGTTATCACTGTCACAGTCCTAGGTCATCCTTATCTAGACAGAGCAATCAGTCCCCTTCATGGCAGTTCTGAGGAGTGGGGATGGGGTGGGATGGCAGTAGGGCCACCAGAAAGTGTTCCAGGCAAAGGTAACTGCATTTTTGATGGTGCATTCTGGTAACCAAAACAAGACCAGGTGACTTTGGGGGAAGAGTGGCACTGGTTGAGACTGCAGAGGACAATAGCGTCAGGCTCTCTGGGCAAGCTATTATTCAGCCAGCATATTCTGGTCAGGTGAACCAGCTGACATCCTTTCAAACTGAGGTCATTACCTATGCCCTACCAGCTATAAAATATTTTGACTTTCACCCCAGTTTA